TCAGCAAAGTCTTGTGGAAAATGGAAGCTTAATGAAGATTTAATTTTTAAGAATGTAATTCAGCAGCTGATCAAAGGCATGACTTGTTAATGGGACTGAAGCCTACGCCATGAGGATAACTCTTCTAGCAAGTACATCCCAACATGTGCAACAATGGAATCTTTGTTAAGTAGTTTCAGACATTTAGTAAAGCCACATTTCATTAGGGACTGTAGTAAAAGGACAAGGGGTAATGGGTTAAAACTTAAACAGGGGAAGTTTAGATTGGATATAATGAAGAAATTCTTTACTGTTAGGGTGGTGAGGCACTGGAATGGGCTGCCCAAGGGAATTGTGAATGCTCCATCCCTGGCAGTGTTCAAGACCAGGCTGGACGGAGCCTTGGGTGGCATTGTTTAGTGTGAGGTGTCCCTGCCCATGGCAGGGGTGCTGGAACTAGGTGATCTTGAGGTCCTTTCCAACCCTAACTATTCTATGATTGTATTATTTCAGCAAGCATGGATTTTTGTGTAGTGGTTAACAAACAGATCAGTACTGTTTCTCTCCTTTCAACTCAGATTTTGCAGGGCTAATTATATCACTGGCAACATGGCAACAAAAGCATCCTCAAAGAAACCCATATGCTCTGTGGGTAACACTAATACTAATGATTATTAAATATCAGTCTTCTGATTGCTCTGAGCTACATGCACACACAGAGAACAAGAAATCTTTTTGCAATATAATGTAACCACCCCGTCATTTGTTTTAGTTTGTCACAACTATTTATTTTGCACTTTGGGCTTCATTACTGTTCTTCTCATGTCTTGTATGTCACCATTTTAAGAAGTCCAGGCAGTGATGCTTTATCTTAAATATTCTGTCAACAGATACTTTTTGCATCCCTTAAGTTCAAACATAAGGTCATTGACAAAAATTTAGCACTGACCCAATTCTGCACTTTTATATTATCAGATTCACATGATCCCTCCATCCTATGTTACCTCATATTATCTCAGATAGATATTTTCAGTATTCTGTTAATTACTGTCCATATTTGGTGTCCCTCAGGGATGAGTGCTGAGACCAGTCTTATTTAACATCCTTGTCACTGACATGGACAGTGGGATTGAGTGCACCCTCAGCAAGTTTGCCGATGACACCAAGCTGTGTGGTTCGGTTGATACGCTGGAGGGAAGGGATGCCATCCAGAGGGACCTTGACACGCCTGTGAGCTGGGCTGATGCCAACCTCGTGAAGTTTAACCATGCAAGTGCAAGGTCCTACACCTGGGTTGGAGCAATCCCAGGCACAGATACAGGCTGGACAGAGAAGAGATTCAGAGCAGCCCTGCGGAGAAGGACTTGGGGGTGTTGGTGATGAGAAAATGAACATGAGCCAGCTTCAGTGTGCGCTTGCAGCCCAGAAAGCCAACCGTATCCTGGGCTGCACCAAAAGGAGTGTGACCAGCAGGTCAAAGGAGGTGATTCTGCCCCTTTACTCTGCTCTTGTGAGACCTCACCTGGAGTATTGTGTGCAGTTCTGGTGTCCTCAACATAAAAAGGACATGGAACTGTTGGAACAAGTCCAGAGGAGGGCCATGAGGATGATCAGGGGACTGGAGCACCTCCTGTATGAAGATAGGCTGAGAAAGTTGGGGCTGTTCAGCCTGGAGAAGAGAAGGCTGCATGGAGACCTCATAACAGCCTTCCAGTATCTGAAGGGGGCCTATAGGGATGCCGGGGAAGGACTCTTCATTAGGGACTGTAGTGGTAGGACAAGGGGTAATGGGTTAAAACTTAAACAGGGGAAGTTTAGATTGGATATAAGGAGGAAATTCTTTCCTGTTAGGGTGGTGAGGCACTGGAATGGGTTGCTCAGGGAAGCTGTGAATGCTCCATCCCTGGTGGTGTTCAAGGCCAGGTTGGACAGAGCCCTGGGTGATATTGTTTAGTGTGAGGTGTCCCTGCCCATGGCAGGGGGGTTGGAACTAGATGATCTTCAGGTGCTTTCCAACCCTAAATATTCAATGATTCTATGATTCTATTTTCCCTATCCTGGCTGAAAGATGTACCTCAAGGTGCTAAGCATGTTCTGTGCTCCAAAAATGTTTCAGTAGATGGCTTCACTTCACACCTCAAATGTTTTTGCTTGTCCCTTGCTACATGACCCAGTGCCCTACATACAAATGTATGGCATTCTGGCAAAGCCATTCTTCCAAGCCTTGGCCTTCAAGAGTGCCCTGTAGGAGAAAAAGGGTTTGAGGACCATTACAGTAGGAAAAAGAAACAACACTGTATCTAATCTACTACAGAGAAAGGTTTGTCTCATACTGTCCAGTTGTGAACATGAGATATAAAAGGACCTCTTTTTCTTGTCTTTGAGCTGTGTGAACTACAAGTTATGCTTCTTGGCAGCAGTAAGGGCTTGTGTTTGAAGGCCTGGTTCTGGTTATCCATGGTTTGTCCAGATTGCTAAACTAGCACAAGTAAGGAAATGGCCTGCACACAAAAAGAGCTGGACTAGGTCTGATTTTCCCTCATAGGGAAAATCATAGGGAAAGGGTCTTTCCACTCGGTTGTCCTGGGTTCAGCAGTAGCAGTCATTTTTCTCCTTCTTAGTAGCTAGTGCAATGCTGTGTTTTTGACTTTCATCCTGGGAACAGCACTGATAACACCGATGTTTTTAGTTGTTGCTTGGTAATGTTTACTCCAATCAAGGACTTTGTGAGTCTCATGCTCTGCCAGGGAGGAGGGGAAGCCAGGAGGAAGCAGAGACAGGACACCTGACCCAAACTAGCCAAAGAGGTATTCCATACCACAGCACATCCTGCCCAGTATATAAACTGGGGGCAGTTACTTGGAAGGGATAGATCACTGCTGGGGTAGGGCTGGGTATCAGTTGGCAGGTGGTGAGCGGTTGTATTCTCTTCCCTTGTTACTTCCCTTACCATTATTATTATTATTGGTGGCAGCAGCAGTGGTTTGTGTTATACCTTAGTTACTGGACTGTTCTGATCTCAGACAGTGGGAGTTACATTCTTTCGATTCTCCTCCCCATCCCTCCAGGAGCAGGAAAGAAAATAGGGGGGAGTGAGCATGGTTCTCGGTTGCTGGCTGGGCTTAAACCATGACATCTGTGTACATACCTACAGGTAGAACTGGTGAATATCATTGCTTGCCATCTGGGTTGCTTCCTGCTATGGTAAATATTTGTCTATGCAGTTGCTTTTTTGTATCCAAACCTTTTCCATTCTTAGTTCTCATATTCCTTAATTATATTTGCATTTGCTTTTGACTCTGGGGTATTTAGGTATGAGTCCTGATTGTGGGATTGATGGGAGTGTACCCTTATTTCTCCAGGCTTATTTCTTTTGCGTGGGATACCATACGTGTTTTTAATCTGGTGGTTACTGTTTTGTGTTGAAACACAAAACCTCCACAGTAACTTTATAGATGGAATATACTGGTGTTACCAGTCCTCCTTCCCTGCGTTTTTCAGGTCCCTTGCTGGAGTCACATACACATGACTGTAATTCTAATAAAGGCACATCTGGGGTATGATTCCAGCCTCTGGTGAGAGAGAATTTAGAGCAGTTGTGAGTATAAGAATGGATGAGCAGCAGCTCTTCCTACCAAGCCTTTTGTTTTTCCTTATACAGCCTTTTCTGGCTTATCCATTCTGCCTCATCCTTCTCCATTTTATTTTCTTTTTTCTTTTGCTTATTCCAGTTTATGGCTCATTGATTTCATAAGTTGTACCAAGACCTCAGGTTCATTCCCAGGGCGTAGACATCTAGAAAGCTAAAACAGGGCAGTTGGCATGGAAAGAAAGTGGAGATGGCTTGGCTTTATCTGCCAATCCACAAATAATTTGGTGAGCAGAGTTTCTGGCCGTGAAATCTGAATGGCATTTTAGAAGTAATAAATTTGGTTCATTCCCAGGTTACTTTGACTTCTGCTGATAGACATTAGAATACAGAGTAGTGTTGGCACAGCAGTGTACAGAGTGCAGAATAGTGCAATGACCTTGCAAGCTGTTCCTTTTGGGATCTTACAGCCCTCTATCACAGCCCTCAAGATGCTGATTACAGTGGGTAAGGCCAGAGACCCATGTGAGTTATTCAGGGCATTACCCCAGAAAGCATCAGATTCCTGTGATGTTCTGGTTGCTGCTTAAAGCTGTTCTTCCTTACTGACATCCCTGTGGCACACTTCCTGCCTTCCTGAACTTAATGAATGTCCTAGTCAGTTTGAGAGTGTCTCTGGGAAATAAAGCTTCCTCCTCTGTGCCAGTAGGTTGATGTCAGCTACCAATTTCCAACCCTCAGCTTTGGAGCCCATGCTAGCAAAGCACAACAGACCTTTACTACCAGATGTAAATGAGCAGTGCAAGTGCAGAGGATACCTACCCTATTTCACAAGAGTACTTTATAGCTTTTAGATGTGAATGATACAGAAGTTCTAATTTCAGACACACACACGTTTTATTGGGTATTTTTGTTACCTATGCATTGCACAAGGAATTTCACAGCTGAATGTTTTATTTCCTGACACCTGCTGTATAAAGACATGACAAAGCTCTTTTCAGAGCATCCTTTATTTTACAACTCTGATTTTCTCCTCCTTTATTTAACAGCACACAGTTCATGTTATGACTTCTTGCTATGCTCTATGCTGTGACATCCTGTTTGCCTCTTCTCTAGGCATGCAAAATTCCCATTGGCTTCACTGATAAGCTGTCTGAGCACAGGCTGCTGGTCAGCGCTGGCACCCATCCTGTGGGCAGAGCTGTAGCCTTCCTTGTCTCCAGTGAAGTCCTACTCTCACCCCAGAACTGCACTGGCAGAATTACAGGCTGTTATTGTTAGGAATGTGTTACTTGCAACAGCCTGAAGTCTGAGGCCAGCTGACCTCAGTGGGCAGTGTGTCCCGCAATGTAACAGAACCAGAATTTAATCCAGCGTTATCTTTAACACAGTATTACTGAAAGCTACATAACTCTCTTTCTTCAATTGACAGCTACCTCATCCCTGAATTCCCAGCTTCAACAGCTTCAGCATCTTCAGCAGCTCCAGCACCAACAGCAGCAGCAGCAAAGCCAGCAGCAGCAGCAAGGTCAGCAGGCACAGACTCCACAGCCACCCCAGCAGACCCAGCAGCCACAGCCACAGCCGTCAGCACCACCGCAGCAAAACCAAACCCAGTCTCAGAGCCAGAGCCAACCGCCTCTGGCCTCACAGTCCTCCAGCTCCCCACAGAAACCCAGCCAGTCCCCAGGGCATGGCCTTCCATCTCCTCTTACTTCACCAAATCCATTGCAGGTAGGACACTGTGTACAAATCTCTAAGTCTAACAGAAAATGCACGCTCTCCCTCCACTGCAAGTGAAAGTTATGCTTTCTGACCATACATGCTGAGAAATTCCGCCTCGTCTTAGTTAATCCTTACAGATATGCAGAGTAGAACAGCTAAAAGACCTGATAAACCAGAAGAACAGAATTAATGATGGTCCCAGTCTGCTGCTTTCTGAAGAGTAAACATCTTTTACCCTTGAAGTCCATATCATAAGCCCCATAGAAAACTATATGATTTTTGCCAGCATGTGACCTTCTCAAATGGTGTTTGCCCAGCAGTCTCCCTTTATGGTAACTTACAAGGACAGCAAAGTTAGCTGTTCATTGGTAGATAATCCTGACTGTTCCTAAAAAAACATAGATCTTCTGCTGGTGGTCGTGTGCAAGGGATGGACGGGTTATCCTTCCTCCTGAAATCACAATCCAAACATTTATCCTGCTAAGAATCAAATACTTTTGTGAAGAATCTCACTATAGACTCCAAAGCTACAAATGTAGTTAATGCCTTTTCTTCATGCTCACTTCAATGATATGGATGTCTGTTAACAGACCTACAGCTGTAGCACCCACCCTTATGCTGGGCTCTGCCTGTCTTAGAATTCCTGGGCAGAAAGAGGAGAGCTCTGATCCAGTGGTCCTAATTTCTAATATGGTGTTCAACTGCACTTAGAAACCAGCAAAGTCTCTATTCACTTTATTCTCTAAATTTTAAGACTGACCTTAAAGGTTTTCTCCATATTGGCTCCATTTCCTGCAGACATTAAACTGCATTAGCTTAATAATTAAAAAATCCTTTTTCAGACAATTAAGGGAATTGGTTTACAAGAAGCTGTGTTTGCTGTGTGGTCAGTTAAGTCTGCATTAATTTAAGCTTCAACTAAACTGCATCAAATCTGATTTTTTAGTGGTTTAGATAATAGACTTAAAAGTCCACAAGAGATGTGTCCTTGCTTTCTGAGCTTTTTCTTATAGTAGAGCATAATGTTTCTAGAGCTTCTTCTCTGTGTTGTCTGAAGGGCTACCTGGGCACCACTTAATGCCCAGTCTGTCATGCTAGTGAGTGCTTTGGGACTCTTTAGTATGCAGATTATTGACATACAGAGACAGGAATATTTCCAGAGGAGCTTCTGTTAGATTTTATTGTCTTGGTGCAGCTGTGATGTATGCATGCTAACTGTGTACACTGTATGTTGCTGAAACTGCCTGCTGTATATTACGCTTCAAAAGGCATTCAGTTTTCCAAACAAAGCAAATGCACACATAAATTAGGGTTGGGGTAGGGAGAAAGAGGGATTACGTCAGTCCACATACCTCAAGAGGGTTGTACTAATGCTGAATCTGAAGCCTTAGCTCTCATGTGCCCTCTGACCCTAATGTAAATCTCAACTGAACCTAAGTACTTCTAATCTCATCTGTGACCTACAGGTACAGGCCAGTAGAAGCACTTTCTACTGTTAGCTCTTCAGGGTCACACCTCACTTGCAGAAGTACAATAAAAGTGAGTAAAACCAGTATTTCCTTGCATGGGAGGTGCCAGCATCAGTTTTCATGGACATACCTTGGCACATCTTTCTCTTCAGCGCACTTGTCCTACAGCTTCCCTTCTGAGGGTGGTCTGGATGTGGTAGACTCAACAGAAATGGAAGGAGGGAACCAAGTACTCTGAGGTGGTTTTAGTTTGAACACTATTCCCATGTCAGAAAAGGGGAAGAGCATCTTCAGTCATAGGCTTGCCAAGCTGCTGAAGAGAGCTTTAAACTAAAGTTGCTAGGGTAAGGAGATTCTCAGTCTGTCCCACTCCTACCAGTTTGATGCCAATGCTGGAAATAGATGCCCAGAGCCTGGAGAGGAATCGCAGGTCAGCAGGAGAGCATCTCCTTAGACATTAGAAAGAAGCTCTTCCCTGTGAGGGTGCTGAGGTGCTGGCACAGGGTGCCCAGAGAAGCTGTGGCTGCCCCATCCCTGTCAGTGTTCAAGGCCAGGTTGGACACAGGGGCTTGGAGCAACCTGCTCTAGTGGAAGGTGTCCCTGCCTATGGCAGGTGGTTGGAACTGGATGAGCCTTAAGGTCCCTTCTAACACCAACCAGGCTGGGATTCTGTGAAACGTCTTAGGAACTGGGCTTACACTTAGTGAAAGACACAAGCATGAGAGGTCTGGCATTTCCCCTGCGTTGAGCTCAGCAGTACTGCTAAGTCAGCTGCGTGACTGGGACGCTTTCAGAGCAACTGTTAGGGGATTGGAAGTCATTAGCTGTCAGCTCTGGCTCAGCATTAAAGAGTTACTAAGAAATTGGAGGATAAGTATTTTAACATTCTTTCCTCTCTGATCCTCACCATTTAAATAGCCATGACAGAGCCTTCAGTGACATGGTTTAGTGGGAGGTGTCCCTGCCCATGGTGGGGGGGTTGGAACTAGATGATCTTAAGGTCCTTTCCAGCCCTAACTATTCTATGAAGCCCCAAAGTTTGTTGACAGATACAAATGCACCGTGTGCTGACATCCAGAAGAAAAGCCACAATTTAACACGGTATTTCAGGCCTCACCTTAGCAGTGTGTGGAGGGCCATTAGTTTGGCCTCCTAGCCTTTTCTGCAGTATTTCTACATCAAGTATAACACTTCTGAAGCTTCCCAAAGAAATACTTAAGAACTTGAAACATGCTCTGTCATATTGCAGAGAATGGTGAGATTCTTTATATGCAAACCAGCGAGACTCTGAAATATTTCCAAAGGAACTGCTGTTGCACTTTATATATGGTTGAAGGATGTGTTCAGGTACTTTACTAAAGCAGAGCAGTGGTAAGATCTCTTCTGTGAAATTTGTCTTTCCATTGTAAATCCTGCAGAGGAAAGCTGTTTTACCCCCATACATCTGATCTCAAGACTGGATCTGAAATTGGGTTTTTTTTCTACACACAAATATAGAAACTAAAACACTAAAAAAAGGAGGGAGCACACATCTGGCAGCAGGTCATAGAGCCAGTCTATAATAGCTGCTTTAAATGTGGAGTTTTTAAATGTCTAATGCTTTGACTTAAAAATCGACCTAGAACAAAATTCAGCTATATTATGGCCTCTAAGGTAATGTGCTTTATGAACTAGAATGAAATGGGTTTTGTTTGAAGAATATTAAGGGAATAAAGATCAACGAAGTTAAAGTTTGACAGCTTAAATTTCATTTCTGAATTCTTGATTTTTTCATGTGGGCTTTATCCTCTTACATTATTCAGGATCTGTCTGAAAGATATTAGTTTAGAACAATGCAACCTCAAAAAATTGTCATGGAAAGTCAGTAATTCAGGAGGATGATTGTGTTTGTTTCAAAAAACTCTGAAGGATAACAGCAATTACATCTGAAAATGTACAGATGCTGTCATGTCCTTCAGAAGGCAAATTAAATGAAAACGACTTGCTTAGGTCTACCTGGATGAGGTACTTGTGCTGGCTGATCAGGAATTAATAATACCTGTGCAGCATACACCAGCTAAAAGTCTCAGAATGATTCATGACAGATTGTTCTGCAATACTCTGCTCTAATTTTATCCCTCTGCTTTACTCAGTTCAGTGGGCTGGATTGTAGCTACGAAACTATTATGTTTAGGAAGTCTTTTAATGGTTGCGGAGAAAGATGAAAAGCCTCGCTTTAGGGTCCAGGGCCTGGATTCTGTGCTCACATTAGTAATGATGCTTCAGATTTACACTGGTAAAAGCAGACCTCTGCAGAACCAGGGGCATTGCTGACCTGCAGAAGGTGACAAGCCAGAGGAGAATTTTCCAAAGCAGAGCTCTGTTTCAGGAGGTGGCAGGTCAGGTAGATGATGAAATTTCATCCCTTCATTTTAGAATGGTGACATTCCTCATACAGGTAATCGTAGTCTGATTTATACTTCTGTTGTGTCAATGGACTGAGACAAAGAAATCCAGAGGTGGAAGGCATGTTGTAAACCGGGCACTTTAAACCCTTTACTTCTGGGAAAATCCACTTCTCCTGTGAATGTTTAATGTTATTACATAGCAAACTATATGGGTTCTTGAATGGTCAGCATGTTGCAGCTTCAAAGCATGGTTACCACAACTTACGGAGTTTCTGTCCAATTCAATTTCTGGAGCTATAATATCATGATTATATACTGTATAAAATCAGATGAGCCAAGTACTAAGTAGCCAATTATTCTGCTTGACTACCAGAATAAGGCACTTTTTATCAGCAACATGTATTTAACTGGCTCCAAATAGAGGTTAGCTTCTGGTGCTGGCACTCACCGTACTTTTCAGCAGTATGGTTGAGAAGAATGTACCCACAGCCAGATCTATAAAGGGAGAGCTACACTATAGGTATAGAGGAATTCCCAATGATTTCTACTGTTCTGTTCATGTGCGAATAGACAAACAGGAAATCCCCCAGGGATTGCCCCACTGTAAAATTATTCTGTCCGTTTTCACAACTCTTTCCTAAAGCACCTTTTTGTCACAGAAGCCTGCCTACAGTAACTGCAGCTGGTGGAAGATGATGAAGAGAAAAAAATAATAATAAAAGGAGGGAAGAAGGGAAGTGAGGAGATGACAACAGCAGAAAAATCTTCCAAGTAATAGCAAACTCCAGGATAGCAAAACCAGAGCCTCCTTCAGATTAATTTTTCATACTAATCTTAAATAATGTATTTGGAACCTCAACACTTTTATAACAAAGGAGAAAAGAAAAGCAGAAAGGCTGAAACACTCAGCTGTAAATGAGGGAGAATGTGTACACAGATGCCTGAGGCTCCAACAGTCACAAAGTCACAAAACCAAAACCACCCTTTCCCTTCGCCCCCCACCTCATTCACTGGTTAGCTTCTCATTAAGGAAAATTCTACCTTACAGAAATCTCAGTGTTTACTGACCCTTTGATAAATTTACATATATTTAAGATACAGAAGAAACAACCAAGTCTCTGTTGGTTTGAGAAAAGCATCTGGGTAAGCTCGC